ATCTCCATCATTGGAAATTAATTACATTCAATTTCCCATGTTTGCAAGTAATCTCATTTTCTACAAATAATTTTGTTGTAAACTTAATGAAACTAAAGATTTTTAAAGACTGATGAAAAGATCGATAATTTTCTTGAATGGAATATAAATATGAGATCGAATAGGCGTCTCAATTAAATTGCATCCTTGAAATAAACGCAGTAGAAACAATTATAGCTTTAGTAATTTCTTTTATTTGAAATATTTTCGCAGGAGTATAAAATGTTATATTGATCGGATAAAACATTTTAAAAGACAATTCATAAAAAAAAAAACAATTCATAACAAAAAAGAGGGAGTATCACTTGAAAGTTCTGGAAACAGTATACATTAAGTCCTACCAGCCATCTCTTTGAAAGCAGAATGAGTGCCTGGTGGTTTTAAAGGTAATTAGCCTTCAAATGGTATATTTTCCTGCATATAACAATCGTCTTAGGTTTTATACTTTTTTAGTCGCTGTGCACATTTTTATCTTCGATTCTTGCTGTGATGAAAGAGGACCAATAAGCAAGTTCATCTGTTTTTTTTTTTTTTTGTTGTTTTTTTTGTTTTTTTGTTAACTGTTATTATATTTCGATATCACCATTTTATGTTAATATATTTAAGTTACCCCATTTTTTTATAATTTCTTCTTTGTTATGAATTGCTTTTTATTTGAATTTAATTTATTTAAACTTTCAGGATATAACCACAATAACATCTTTGTTGTTAAAGGCATTCCAGCAGCGTGAATTTATTATCAGAAATATCATCCGAAAATAAAGTAATCACAGTTTCTAGCTAAAAATTACTTTTGATGGAATAGATTGAATCTGTTCAGTATTAATTATATTCTGCATCCTCATATACAAGGCCCGAGCGTACAACGGCCGAAACGTTGTAATAAATATGGCGATAAAGATGAGGACATTAGTCCGAATAATGTAAATAGTGTACATAATACCTCATCTCAGAAATATAGACAGATCAATGAACTAGACTGAAGAGAGCTAAAGATGAAGCAAATAGAATTTGATTGTGTTGAAAATAGTATAATTAAGCCGAACATAGAAATGGCAGTAAGTCTTCAGGATTATTAGAAGATAAGGATAGCAAATACTTTCCTATATTGTCTGGATTTTTCAGACGTTCTCAAAAATCATCATTCTTTGATTTTTTTTATTATTTTAATTGTAGTAGTGTAGCAACTTGATAAAAAAAAACAATTATGAAGTTGGCACGCGAAGCAGACCGGGCAAGTCAACGACTAAAAATGTAGTGATCGAAAAAGCAAAACTGAATGTTACTTCACCTCAGAAGTTCAGCACTATGTGAAGAACTGGAAAATACTGGCCAAAATTGCATTATTTACATTATTCGGACTGTTAATCACAACATTTCGGCCGTTGTACGCTGTGGCCTTCTTCTGATGATTGGAATTTCGAACAGAACCCTTTATTTCGTCCACTGGAGTAGATTGTTCTAGTTCCGCGTGACATGACTCTTCCGGATGTCTCAGTTTTTTTTTCTCACTTTAAATTCAATTCTCCAAGCTTTTGGTTCATGTTGTGGGGTTCTCCCCTTTTTACATAAGATGGACTCGTCCAAAGTATATTTATACTGACAGAGAGAATACCTGCTGTTGAGATACGCCGAGATACAGTCTCGACGTCTGTCGAACTCTCTGCTTTATCAGAGAGGAACTCGGACGAAGCTTTGCCGAAGGACAAAGTTTCGTCCGGGGAGGTAGGCGGGTTCAATGGGTATATTTTTGGCCGAGCCTAGGGGCTCGGAGAAACCCACTTTAAACTCGGCCTTGTGTCACATATATTCCTCGTGGGTGGGATATTAAGTTCTGAGATACGTTGAGACAGGTTGAGAGATACGGAGACAGACACAGGGTATTCTCAGAGAGTTATACAAGAGTCCAGAGATAGAGTGTTGATTACGGCTTTACTTACAGAGACTTGTACATATACTTTCTACTAACCCGCATTCCTCGACTACTAATCTTCACTTCAAGTCTGTATTCTTACGTTTAATACATTTATTTTTCTATCTCAATTTCTGGCGTTGTTTATTTATTTATACAGGATTCCATTCACGGAATCGACAACAGTTCACCACTGCTGTGGCCTGGTACTGAACTCACAACTTTTTGTGTCTAATCGCTGGATCTAACCAACGTCTTTATCTTTAGAGATATAGACAGATACTGACCAAAATAATGGTATCGAAATTAAAAAGATCAGGATAAAATTTAAATAATTGATTGAATAATAAAAATACTTAATTCTCGAATTCCAGACATCAAATTTCTCTTCATGAGTTTTGAACCTGTCGAGAAATGTTTAAAGTTATTTGTTTGTTTTTAAGAAAATCTAACCACTGCTGAAGTTCGAATTCAAAAACCTTTTGATAGCGGATGGGATTTGTAGAAATTGGATCATATTGAATATTTTTCTAAAACATAAAATTATTGCCTTTCTTATGGAATATGTTCCAATATTCAATATATTTCTCCTTTTTTATATATATTTAAAGAGAAATTAAATCTTAAATAATGTTATTGATATTTAGATTATCGCCGTCTATAAATTTGGAGAAAAAAAACTTACTTGCAAGTTTAAATTATCGTGTAATAATAACAAATGATACAAAAATAAAGTTGTATTAGATTTGATGAGAAAATAGAAAAGAGAGGAAGAGGTTTTATTAATGCTATATCCGATTTTAATAGAATATTGTTTACAATTACACAGCGAGCTTAGATAAAAAATCAATTAGCTGTTCTGCAAGATAAGTTATTTTAAGAAATTAAATTTAAAATATGCAATATTTAACATTTTCAAAAGCATAAGTAACATGAAGAGTTAATTAACCTTTCCTAAATCTTAGCACAACAAATAAGTGTATAAGACTTTCAAATAATCCTAAACATTTTTAAGAGAACCTATCGTATTATTTGTTGAGTTTATAAGCCAGCTCATATACATAGATATATCCGTTCTTTGATTATGAAATTGCATCTTATAAATAAAATGATTCGTTTGCTTTTATTGTTATTTGAATGCCTTTTTTCATGTTCAATGAGAGATTCCACCGCAAATGCAGAATAAAGTCTAAAAATGTTGCATGAACAGATCAGAAGAAATTAGAAAATATTAAAAATTTATTCAGTTTTTCTCCATCATAAATATTTTTAAAAATCTTTTCAGGAATCAAAAATTGAAGAGCAAGATAGTGAAATGCAAAGTATTTTCAATATCAATCCTTTTAAACGAGTCTAAAATCAAAGTTAAAATGTCGGAAGTCAATGTTTAAATTCTGATGTCAAAGTTAAAAAGGTCAAAATGTTAATTTCTAAGAATTGTTTAAGGGGCTTGAATTTAATTATGCAAACAAATGGTAGAATAACAGACAGAAGTTTCATTTTTTTAACTATGAAATTCAAATGGGTTCGCGATTTAATAATCATAACTAAGGATTGGATGTCGCTGGTCTAGAAAATTGGTAATAAAATTGAGAGTAAAGCCTAAAAAACTTGTTCTTGACAGAGAACAGCACACCTTTTCGACGACCCCAGATCTAATTATTAGAACATTTGCAAATTACCTGTCTCTAAGAGAAGCCATTAATACTTCTTAGAAGAAAGTAACAAGCAGACGATAACCTACATTCAAATAAAAGAAGAATTACTAGGACACTAGTCAGCTTAGGTTAATAAGAATTTTCTCTTAAGTCCAGAAAATATCATTCTTCCCAGTTAAGGTTAATTACAATCGATCTTTGAAAATGCCACTAGACACGAAACAACGACAAAACTTTAAGAACATGCAACTAAAATGGGTCAGAAATTGTGCGGGAACAATGTAACACAAAATATCATCATCATCATTAGCGTCATCATCAGTTCTATGAGAACGGGTGTGGTCGTAGGATCAATGTGCAGCCGAGTTCCCTCCACGTGACCAGAAAGATACGTGTAGTGCGTCTTGAGCAAGTAGACGTCAAATCTGAAGATTCGCTTAGTTATGGACACGCGTTCATTGATTCCGCCCTGGCCATTGACCAGTCTAGAAAGCCCTTCGCCCAGTGAAGGATTGTCATCACTGCAGTGGCTACATAAATATCTATGGAAACAAGTCTACCCCATTATGCGAGATAGCCGTTGATCCATAAACAATTTTCATCCACCTGAGAGTTTCTTGGGGTTTTTTTTTTCTTATTTGGCTCGGTTTTAGCCACCTTCCTCGCCAGAAAAGCCTGACTCAACCATAGGTCTGATAGTTCTGTGTTACATGGTACAGGTAGCTCCCGTAGAGTGGCATATCATGATCACACTGAAGCTTGAAGCCAAAATAAAATCTAGAATAAAAGTTTATAGATTTATTGTTCCTGCGTTTAAAGTCAATGTTATGTTTCTCAGAAACATTTACTTTAGTCCAAGTTAAAGAACTCCTCATAGAACGTCTGCACAGAATTAAAAGCATTAAAAATATTTGACAATTATTGGAATGCATTCTGATGTTAAAAATTGTCCATATAAGTAAAGTTTTCGTTTTCTATTTTAAAATTAGATAATATAAGTAACTAAGGCGGAATTTTTGTTGTATCTTTTAAAATATCTCGATATACAAGGTCGTGTGAGCTGCCATGATAACTAAAATAAAAGACCTCAGTGGATAACAACAGCATTCAGAAGTCTGATAAAACATATTCAAGAAAGAAATCTTATTTCAGATGTTACGGTTGTTAAATATAACACTTTCCGTCGGTTAGCATCCAAACCACAATTTTCTCATCTTGGCGCGATTTAGCTGTTTATATTTGCCAACAAAGAAACAAGTCGCCTTTGGGAGATTTTAATCATTGTCTTTGACGTCTTCGTAATCTGTTTTGATTAAAATGTTTCCAAAGGATATAACAAAGAAAGACGATGAAACTGCAAATTGGCTAAAATCTCTAACATCAACAATGACATGATCTCATGCTTCATTTTCAGGCATTTTTTTTTTCCTCTGGTTTCTTTTGTTTCAGACCTGGTCGGAGGAGAAAAATAATTCAATGCCTATTTCCAGGTTCTTAGATTGTCAATTTAATCGCTTCTTGTTTGATAAAACTACTCAACTCTATTCTGACGATCATTTGAAACGCACCAACGAACAAGCGACGGCATACTTATTTATTTACTTGAAATTTCTTTTTTGTTGGGATTGTCTATTTTTTTCTCCTTTTTTGATTGAAGGCTTTTTTTGTCGTTGCCCAACACGCTGCGTGCTTGACAAGAACCCTTCCTTGACTTCCTTTCATCAATCAATGAAGGTGGGGGATTCCTATTTGTTTTCATTACCTTCTTTCAGTTTTTCTGCTCATTCTTTATCCCTTGTGTTTTATAAGATATAAATGTTTTATTTGGATTTTAATTTTCTTTCTATTTCCTTTCTGAATCATTCGTTTTTGTTTGTTTTTTTGCTTTTTTTGTTGTTTTTTTTTGTTTTGTTTTGCAATTTTCAGCGTCGAGTCTGATGTGATTTTCGAAATCGGTTTATTTCAACAAAAATTTCTATTCGTCCGATGGAACGGTTTTTCCCGCTTTAAATTTGCTTCGATAACAAATAAGTGGATCGCAAACAAAACGACTTCAACCAACCAAATTTCTTTCTTTGTCAGCTTCGTTACTTCTTCAATTTTTCTCACTTTTCTTCATTCGTGTTATTCCTTCCTATTTCTTATCTTCTTTTCTTATGTTTGTTTTCATTCCTTTCATTTTTCTTTCTACTCATTTCTTCCTTTTTCTTTCTTTTTTCCCTTGTTTGGCTTCCTTTTCGTATAGCAGTCTTTCCACTCCTTTACTTTTCTTTCTCTCTTTTTCTTTCTTCGTCTTTTCTTCTCTTGATTCTTGTTTTTCTTTTTCTCATTTGTTTTCTTGTTTTTCTTTCTCTCATCTTTTATCTTCATATTTTTCTTCACTTTTTCTTTCTTTTGTTTGTCCGTCTCGATTTTGTTGAAATGAAGTACAAACAACTCTTTCTTTTCTTTCGTACTTTTCATCTAACTTCTCTTATTTCTTCTTTGTATTTTCTTTCCTTCATAGTTTTTTTTCTTGTTCGTCTTTCTTTCTGTTTGTCTTTATCTCTTTTCTTTCGTTTTCTTTCTTCTTATTCTTCTTACTTATTTCTTATTTTTCTTTCATTTCTCACTTTTTCTCTCTCATAGTTTCTTTTTTTGTTCCTCTTTCTCTCGTTTTCTTTCTATTGATACATCATTCTTTCCTCTTTTATTCCATATTTTTTCTAGTTTTCATTCCACTTTGTTTTATTTTAATCTTAATGTTTTTCTTCTCTTTTCTTTCATACTTTCATTCATTCTTTCCTTTCTTATAGTTACAGCCTTTCTTTCTTTGTTAAATATTTTTTCTTTTTTTTACTTTATTATACCGTTTTCTTTTTCTATTCTTTCCTCGGCCTTCTTGAATACTGTTTTCATTGCCTTCCCACTCTTGTGCCCTGATCAATGCACCTCTATTTTCAGAAGTAACTAATTTCCCTGCCCTACTCCCCAAAAAGTCTTAACTTCAAAAATCGATATCATTGATTTTAGGGAAAAAGCAATTTTTACATTTTATCTACGAATTCCAACTTATGCCTAAAGCGTTTTCAATCTAGCAAATCGCGTATCATGGGAGAATAATACCTACGGATGCATTCAATATCTTAGGGGCTAACATCCGCACCCAAATGTGTGTGACCAGACACAGACACATATAGAGACAAGAACACACACACACACACACATATATATATATAGTTCAGATTGTTGTACTCATCTTTATTGCTATGTTGACGACTATTCGGATTTGTATGCTCCGGCTTTCTTCAACTGATTTGAATTTCGAACTAAGCCCTTAATTTTCTGGCCAGCTATACATATATATATATATATATATATATATATATATATATATATATGCTGAATCGGATATACATTGCCCACTTTTATATTTATATACATATGCTATATCACTGCTATTGAGTACTTTAACCCATAAATATAGCATACCTTAAAACTATATTTTATCATATATATATATATATATATATATATATATATATATATATTTGTTTTGTTTCGTTTGTTTTTTTGTGAACCTGCATAAAAAATGCCTTCGTGGGATGCGCATTTTGTAACCGGAGCGACATAGATAAAGAGTCTTTTTTAACCCAGAGAGAGAGAGAGAGAGAGAGAGATCCGAACCCTAAAATCTAAACCTCCGTCTTATGAAAGAAGTTGAAAAAATATTCTATTTGCATAACTGTTACTCATTAAATGAGCCTTGTTGATTTTGGTACAAAAGAACTTGACGAAAATAGAAAAATGCCAACGGTAATTGATGTTCGCCTTTATGACTGAGACACTAATCCTTAAAACAATATTTCCCTTTACGAATAAATTTGGTGAAAGGCAAATGATCATGTCAAGGACTTATTTCATAAGGAAACGAAATGCAACGAAAAAAATTCGGAACTTATAATTATGAGTTTATCACAATTTATTTACCAAAAATTAAAGGAAAAGCTTTTTAAAAACACGTAGGAATTCGCATCAGATCATTTGTTACTCTTTATGTGAGCTTTATACATAGGCGACTAGTGGCCGGTGGCAAGTGAGGAAAAGAGAAAGGAGTTTTTAATGTTTTAGATTATTCAAAGTTCTGAGCTTGAATTTGTGCATTTTAAATATTCATTTATTTATTAATGTATTTATGTGTTGGCGTTCTTTACTTTTAAAGTTTAGTATTTAAAATTAAGTTTATTAGTTTTAGTTTATGAATTATTAGTTGGTTAGTCTTTGGAGTATTTATGTTTATTTTGATAACGTAGTAGAAATTTGCTTTCGTATCTATATTTAGAAGTGAACTCCCAAATTGATAATGATTTTATATTGCTTTGAAAGTGTGATTTTTGCTAGTTTTTCTTCCCTGCAAAGTTTATATTGATTTGAAATGTTGTTCTGTTTTCGGGGGAGGTAGTGTTATTGCGGTTGCATATGCTTTTTGTGGGTATTGTGCTATTTACAAATATTTCTTTTTTCTGTTCTTTTTGTTCTAACAAATATCTATCAAGAATGGGATTTTGTTGAAAACAAAGCATTTTTCTATGATTTGGTTATTCTAAAGGTCACTGGATTTACTAAGTTCAAGTTTTTTTTGCTTCCGTGGTCGGTGTCCATATTGAAAAGTCACTGCGAGTTAATGAGTTCAAAAGCAAACGGTCACACTCGCCGTGACTAACATAGGACCACAATTGCATAAAAAAGATAAAGAGAATGAAGAATTATGAATACATTACTATAAACGTTTTTTGTTTGTTCTCATTGCCAAGAATTGGTCGATAGGAAAATGTCAAGGAAAAATGAGCGAGGGTCATATTGTGAATGTTTCTGACTTACAAACGTTGATTCATTAACAAAATGTATTAAAATGAGAGACATGTGGATGAACCGACGACTGTCATGGCGACCAAGACGAGGAAAAGTTCTTAAGTTTGACTTAAACAGACTTAGATAGATTTTAATATGATTAAGTATATATTTACGAAATACTTACTGTGTTTATTTAATCCGACACACCTGGAATACCGTATGTCGTTCATTGTGTATAAAGATGACCTCCAAGAAATGAACAAAGAAGCTTGTCTTATAAACTGTTTACTTTTACTTGGCAAATAAAAGAATATTTAAAAATGGGAGAGCTATAATCCCATGTGCATATATATATATATATATATATATATATATATATATATATTTAACTAAAGAAATGCTAAGCTGAACGAAAGCAAAGGAAAAGGACTGGAAGTATGTTTTGTTGTTTGCGCAGTTTTAGGGAAAGAAAATGAAAAAAAAATGTCTCATTGAAATGAAAAGGAGAATAAGGATAGATAGATAGAAAGAGAGAGAGAGAGAGAGCAAATGAAAAGTCACAGGAAAAATAAATCAAGATAAGAATTCAAAAATTGAAATAAAAGAGAAAATAATGAAAAAAAACTGAAATATCTCAAAAAGAAAGAATATATAACACTGGTAAAAAAAAGACGAATATACCGTAAAATCGAAAGTGGACGATGAGGTAATTTTGAAACTTGAGGAAAATACGTTTGAAAAAAAAGAAAAAAGAAGAAAACTGGGAAAACACAAAAGCTATCTAGTAAATGGGGATGTTTGTTGACAGTTGCAAGTTCATTTTTCGTGCAGGTTCCTCTTTCTGTTGCACGATAATTTGGAATCGGGTTGTTGCTTTTTGTAATCACCACACCCAAGTAGATTCAGCCAGAGTTGTGTGCCCATGTGTGCTCATCCCATAAATGGAGACAGGTTGTTGTTTTTCAGGATTTTTTTATTTTTTAATTCTAAATAAAAAAAAACAACAAAAAGACATAAAATAAGAATGAAAGAGAAGAAAAGTTTTGGGAACCAATTCGAGAAGAATGACGAAAAAAGTTGCATAAAAAAGCTTAAAAATCGAGAAGTGTTTTATTTTAAAGAAAGTATTGAAAGAAAAAAAAGTATTGAAAGAAAAAAAAAAAAGAAAAAAAAGAAAAAAAGAAAAGAAAGAAAAAAGAAAAAAAAAAAGAAAAAAGAAAAGAAAAAGAAAAAAAAAAAGAAAGAAAAAAAAAAAATTCTGAAAGAAAAAAGAAAAATTTTAAAAAAAAAAAAAAAAGAAAGAAAACAAAAAAAAAAAAAAGAAGAAAAAAAAGGAAAAAAAAAGAAAAGAAAAAAAAAGAAAAAGAAGAAAAAAGAAAGAAAGAAAGAAAAAAAAAAAAAAAAAAAGAAGAAAAAGAAAGAAAAAGAAAAAAAAGAAGAAAAAGAAAAAAGAAAGAAAAAAGTACATTTTCTTTGAAAGAAAAAAGAAAGCATAGAAAGAAAAAGAAAAGAGTGAAAAAAGAAAATAAAAAAAAGAAAAAAAAGAAAGAAGTAAAAAAAAAAAAAAGAAAAAAAAGAAAAAAAATTCCTTCAAAAAAAAAGAAAAAAAAAAAAAGAAAGAAAAAAGAATTTTTATGTTGCTTTGTTTTGAACTTTTAAGAATCTGCGTGTTAATTTGAGGTAAATCTTCAATCTGTTAAAGATATGTATAAACTTCACTTATCTCATAGTCTGATAATTAAACATGATATGAATCTCCATCCCTGAAGGACAAAAAGTTAGAAACTATCAAAGTCCATCTTATCCAACTGATAAGAGTTGATCAACATAAAATTCCAAAAGAGGAAATTATCTTCACAATCAAAACATTTTTCTCAACTAAAATTTGTGGTTACTTGGTCTGACCTGTCAATATCCTACTAAATAATCACGTTCTGACATCAAAATATTCCCATGACTGTTGTCTCCATCTTTAATGATTTTAAAGTTTCGGCTGATAAATACTTCTGCCTCCACTAACTATATGTAGGTTGCATCCGAATTTTAGAAGTGTTTTCCATTTACTTTATCATCTCCTTTAACGTGAACATTTTAAATTCACTCGTGCAACTACGTATTAAGCAATCATCTTATCTGAAATCTTAACGTGAGGACAGACAAAATGGAAAGACTTTCCTTATCAACAAATTCGTCACTTGTTGACCTTTTAATGGAACGTTTTCACAATGTCATTACAATATTCTAAATTTGTATTTTATTTCTTATTACAAAAGTTTTCTGAGTTATTCTTGTACAATGTTAAGGAATTCATTTTAAACAGTTCTTCTCTCTTTGTGCAAATAATCAATTGCAGTATTTACTAGGAAAGTGGGTTCCACATTAATTCAGGGAAATAAATGTTTTCTCATTGTTTAAACACTTCACGTTAAGCACTTAACCCCTTACATAATTGTCTGAACTTAACCTTAAAGATAAATATTTTGACTTCATTTGATTTGTTCTCTTCACTTCATTTCATTCTCTTCGTTTGTTTTCTTCTCTTCTGAAGAAGGCCAGAGAGTACAACGGCGGAAACGTTGCGAATATGGCAATGAAGATGAGCATATCAGTCCGAATAATGTAAATAATGCAAGTAAATATATGTCAGTGTTTAAAAGCTTTACTTAGAACAAATTGTGTGGGTATTCAAACACTTCATTTTAGACAGATACATTTGTCGGTGTATAAAAATCTGTATTTCTTTTTGCGTAACATTATCCTTTGGAGCATGATGAACACTGAGAATGAAAAATGGTTTTATTGCCATAATCGAAAATGAAATAGTCTTGATACGTTACAGTCTTAGACACCTAGACCTCATTAGTCGGATTGCTCTTACCATTAATTAACAAATAGGAAAATGTCCTTTGAAATAAAGAAACGCAACGGACAGCTATGCAATACATCATCTCCTACATGACAGTGGATGATAAACAATTTTCTCAAAGTTGATAAAGTAATTTGAAGCGAAAGATATGAAATTCTACTGATGTATGCTGGGAATACGTGAGAGTAATGAGAAAGGTTTAAGAAAAATAGGAAATACATTGAAACTACTGCTTACACTCACAATGACACAGT